AGTGAAATTCTCAATTATTAAAGGAAATAACACAAATCTTTAAAAAATAGAAAGCTCCCCTAAAGAATAAAAGAATGATTCTCAATAATTTCAAACTTTCTTTTAAAAATATTTATTTTTATTCTCTTTTATGAGTCTGTGTCTGTGTAAATGTGTACCATGTGTACACGGGTGCTACAGAGGCCTACAAAAGAAGGTGCCCTGCTCTCTGGAGCTGGAGTTAGAGCTGGAAACCACTCTGGTCCTCCGGAAGAGCAGGGAGTGCTCCTAACCACTGAGCCATCTCTCTACTCCTGTCCTCAATTTGCTTTTGCCAGATCAAAACCTGACATGGTCGTTATGTGAAAAGCAAATGATAGGCTATTTTTTTCTCATGAATTTGAACGCCGAGCTCTGAAACAAAATGTTAGTAAATCTCATCCAGTGATTTATTAAAGTTTAAAACTCACATTTATACAGAACAATCATTTATTATCTCATATCAATGATAAAATTAGAAGAACAAAGTTGAATAAACATATGATAATGTCAACAACACAAGTATCTGATAAAGATCCTACATCTACCCAAGCCTTAGAGTGATGGAAATCTAGGCGTGAAGGAAATTGTTCTAATGACATAAGGTGCTCGCTAAAACCTTACAGCAAATATCAAAGTAGAATAAACTGTGTTCAGTGTCCCAGAGCAGGGCCAGGAGAATGGGGAAGAACTGAAGTGTATGTGAGGAGAAGAACAGACGCACGGCCTCTCCTCAGAACCAAGTAACCCAAAGATGTGTTCAACCCACACATAAAAGCTAAAACTATGGCCCTGACATAAGTAAACACAGAATATATTTATGACCTCAGATAAGGCAAAGGCTGCCTCCTTAGCAAGGAGACAAAACATTCATCTTTCATTAAAATTAAAAAGTATTGCTCATCAGGAAATATTAAGGAAATGAAAGGCAAACTACAGATTGGAAGAAAAGATTAATCATATATTTTTCTGACAAATAATGAGTATTTAGACTATCCAGTTATAAGGGACACTTACAAATTAATAATGAAAGGAAAGAAACGAGCAAAAGACTTTAAAAACCATTCTTTAGCTTCACTTTACACTCACAGTGTGTCTAAAATTAACAAAGTAGCATGAATGCACAGAACCCTCAGACTTTGCTGGTGCAAGTGAAGACTGACTCAGCTGCCTTGGAAATTGACATCCCCATGTGCTATGAGCTGTGCTTCTATTTGTCAACACGAATCAAGCACTTCCTCTTCTGTTTAAGCCACTTCAAATTAATTCTCACTCACTGGCAGGCAGTGAATTTCAGCTAACAGTAACAGACTTATTGCTGTGCCACTGGCTACACGATGGTACTGTGCTGGGCAAGGTGGAGTCAGGACCGCTACACCACAGGTCATGAGAAAGGGGCTTGAATTGCCCTGCTCTGATGCCAAGCTACAAAGCCCATAACTCTGACCCGAGACTTAGATGTCAGGAGTAGCTCTTTTCTGGGCTGTGCACTTCTGGTTTCTCTCTACAGTGTCCTTCTGCCGACAAACTCAGCCAATCAACATGGATGGGTGGAAAAGGAAGTGAGACAGAAATGAAAAAAAAAAAAATCATGAAATAACAAAAGGCAATTTTATTCATTTGAAAACCACTTTTGAGACATGCAGCCTACATGGCCATAAATTCAATATTAGCAAAAGTAACGAGTATTCCATGACCACTCACACAGGGTGTGGCCCTCAAGAAAATGCCAGTGGCAACTGATGCACTCCTGCCTTTGTGCAACATGTTAAATGAGACCCTTGTCTGTTGTAAGGATTGGGCTCCTGGATCTTACCTAGACTAGTGGGCACATACAAGAACATTTGGAGCTGGTATTTACATATATTTTTAAATGTTGGACAAACGCAGCAATAAGTGAAATGCGAAACCCATAGGGTGTATAGTGCCTCCAAGCTTTCACAGGCACATAAATAACCTCAGTCCATCAGTGTGACTTCTGGGTGTAGGTTCCTTCCTGAGTCCTAAATTCCTCAGCCTTTCAACATTGGGGCAGTCAATGAGGTAGGCTGGCATCATTCCTGGTAAAGGAACTCATGCCTTGGTTTCTTCATCTTTCAGATTTTAACTTTTGCTCATGCCTTAGCTTCCTCATAGTCCCACCTGGCCTTTCTTACTGTGGAACTTCAGGGAAGGAATAACGCATACCTGTGTCATAACTCACAATGAGTCTTCCATCGTGGTTGCCCACACTCTGTGGCTCAAAGTCTACTTCCAATTGCATGGACTCTCCTATATTAAGAATTCCGTCAGTTGGTTTTATGGAGAAAGGCCTGCAACACACACGGAGACGTATCATCAGAGCACATTTCTGACTAGTGTGAGACAAAGGAGGGAGCCGTGAGCTCTAGTTCTGCAGGTTCTAACGTCCTTCTCTAGAACGTGAGTATAGTTTTCTCCCTAATGCAGAAGAGCTGGTTTAATGTTAAAGTAAACGGATCTGCAAGGTTAGAGAAACTTAGGCAATACAATCATATCCTGTTTGTGCTCTTGTCCTTCAGATCTTGACTCCTGGAGTAGTCCTACTGGGAATAAAATAGATAAAATCCAACCATGTCCTCAAGACATCAAGATTCTAGCAAGGGACAAATTGAAGCCTGCATGTAAATAATGTCATTTGCAAAAGAATACTGCCTTCTATGGGATAAAAATTAAATTTTGTGACAGTTCAGAGGAGAGAGGATTATATTAGGAAACTCTATCAGAGTCTCAAAAGGAAAGTGATGCCACATTCACATTAGGAGATTCCAGGAATGCTTAACAAACATTCATTCTAAGGAGGTGTGAGGCATGTATGCAACGACAAGAAATGATGCAGTAGCCTAGGATTAGGAACAGCTGCTACCACCTCTGGACCCTCTCACCCCCCAAATCCATGAGAATGGAGGAGTTTAGAAACTCACACAGGGATCCTAAGAGAAGAGTGCCTCGTGAGCAAAACTCTAGTCAAAGAAAGTAGCTAGCCCAGGTGATGTCACAGCAACACGAAAGTTAAAACTATCGTGATGGTTATTTTCTGTTGTCACCCTGACTGGGTGGAAAATCATTTAAGAGATTGTTGAGGTACACTGCTTGGTGAATCTGTGTGGGAAATTCCAATAGGATTAACTGAGGGCAAGAGATCCACTTTGAATGCAGGAGGCACCACCCTGTGGGCTAAGGACCTGGATGGAAGAAAGAGGAGAGGGCAACAGACCAACATTCTCACTCTCCTTCCTGGCCACCATGCTGTGAACCGCTCCATTCCTCCTTATCTGTTCTGCCATGATGGGCTTGAACCCAGATCAAGTCTTCCTTGCTTAAGTTATTTATGTTGGTATTTTGGGATAGCATCCTGAAAAGTAACTGACACAAAAATCCTGACCCCATACCTTCTGTCTGATTGTTTGTCCAGGACTCCAGTTGGTTGGATCCAACTGGAAACCAGAAGGCACTGGGGGGCCTGCTGACTCAAGCCACAGAGGTAAGCTTCCTAGAAAAGTGAGGACCATGCAGTCAGAAAGGTGAGCAGGCCAAGTTCTGCATCCTGAAAACAGGCTTTGGAGATACAAACATCACGAGGAACAAGGGTAGATTTGAGGAGCAGGAAATAGTTTCACTTACTTATTCTGGAAGGGAACAGTAAGCTGGACCTGATTATCATGCACCTTAAATAACTTAACAGAGTTCTTTCTCCTAAACAGGAAGCCTAGCCTATTTAATTATTTTCATGGTCCATTTCACATCTTTAAATTGCTAGTTTTTCAAGGTAATGTGTTGGACAATGTATCTGGCAAGCTAAGCTGTTTCTGATTCTTCTATCACAACAGTTTTTAGAGTCATTGTTCCTTAAATCTTCCGTTAGATAAAGAAGTCAATTTCAGAAGACCCAAGCTTTCTGCAGTGAGGGTACAGAGCTGATGGCAAGGGCCGCACCGAGTGGGCTCTGAGGACCTAGGACCTTGGGGCTCCTGTGATCAACACCTGCTCCTTTTCCCTGCCATCTTCTCCTTTGATCTTCTCTTTCATTTCTTGTTTTTCATCCTTCCCTTCTCTCTCCTTTCCTGGTACTCATGACACCAACTCTCCAGTGAGCCTCAGACACTGTTGTATTGGTCATGAAACTGGTGTATTTGTCACTAAACTGGCCTCCAGACAACTGAATGAGTTAAAAACCCAGTTGTGCCCATGACCTTGGACAAGTCACTTAACCTTCAGTTTCCTTATCTGTAAAATGGAAGTCATGTCAACACATACCTCATAAGGTTATAGTGTGGAGTAAAGGGGTTGTACAGTTAATGTTTGGAATAATGTCTGGCATGTAGGAGGTACTGTATTATAAAAGCATTTATTGTTATTGCTATTTTATCTCCACTGGTAGTCCAGCAATGTGGGAGGATGAACCTGAGGATACATTCCAGTATGTAGATAAGATCAAGCTTTTCTCATTGTCCCTTTCCCCATCACCACACAGCCCTGGGGATACTGTCAAACACACACTTAAGTCACAACACATCAGTCTCTTGCTGAAAACTTTCACTGGTCCTCATCATTGATGCAACAAAGTTCAAACTCTCAGATATTCAAGGTCCCACACAATCTGTTCCCAACCAGGTTTTGCTTTTCTGATTACACACATATGTCTGTCCAACCCCCCTAAATACCTCTCACATTCCCAGTCAGCTAGGATGGGATGGGTGGGAGGCTCTGGTCTCTTCACCCACAAGGTCCCCAAGCACTGCACCTGTTCTGTCCAGACAGACATTTCCCTCATTGACAACCAGGACTTCTAGGGTCCTATCAGAAAAGGCACCACTTCCTATGTGTCATACTCCTGGGGTGGTCATGGCCCACAGTTCAGATTCAAAGCCATTTCTTACATAGAATCCTGCCTATGTGAAGTACTCAGTTCGGTACATATAGCCAGATTATGTTCTCCTGAAATGTTCCTTTTTCTTTTTCTTCCTTTCTTCTAAAGAGTTTCCAGTCGCTGAGAGAAGCAGTCCTGAAAATAAATTCCAGGACAAGGTAAACCTCAGAAAGAAGTAAAAAGAAATGTGAATGTAAGGCTGCTGAGGGTAAAGGGGTGTGATTCCGGAACACACATCCTATCCTGGGGTTGTTTTACATATCTCTGTTAAATTCTTCAAAATACTTTGGTAAAGGAGGTAACAGTATTTCACTTTTAGAAATAAAACAACAACAACAACAACAACAACAAAACATGTGCCTCTCCCCACAAAGAGCTGCAGTAACAGGGATGGGAGGGAACTTTGCCTTCAAGTTCTGTCCTTTCTGCCTGTGCTGAGCTACTCCTGAATGTGGGAGTCACATGCATATTCCCCTTTGTGTCTTTGCCGTTCACACACAGTTCTTTACTCATAGAACCTTTCAGGTGAGGTTGTTGGGTGAAATTACAATAAAATCTTTTGGGAGATAAAGCCCAGGGCCTTGCCCATGGTACACTAACACTCTACCACTGAGCTATATCCTGGCCCACAATTAATCTTAATGATCTACAATCATTCATTAATTTTTATAACATCTTGGTGGAACAGAAAAAAAGAGTAAACTTTCAACAGCTTAAGAACCGTTCCTTCCTGGAAGACGGTGAATTTTCTGATCTCAAAGCTCTTTCTTTCCTTCTGGCTCAGTAAGAGTCTGTAGAGTTGAGAACTGGGCCCAGTTTTCTAGCTTTGAGACAACGTGACATGTCTTCTAGTATGCCTCTCTACTTGAGAATATCTTTTTCTTCCTGTATGGTGTTTTCATTTTGTTTCAAATACAGCTTAGTAGGGAAAGGGTACTTTCAAAATGAATTGGATATTATTCCATCGCAGACCCCAAGCTAATTTTCTACGGAGAAGGTGACACCAGGGTCACATCTCTGGGACCTGTAAGAGTCCAAATTCCATAGAGTGGTAATGGATACCTTCTCTGTGTGCTAATTGTGAGGTTTAGATTACACTAAACCTCTACAGCAGTCGGAGAATCACCTGGGATCACCCTTGCCTCTTACAGCTGTCTAAGCTTTCTCGATAAATCAGAGGTTAATTGGGTAGAGTGTGTTAGGTTCTGGTGCTTAAGCACTGCCTATAATTTGATTTGCACTTCATTTTACTAAAGACCTGCAGGCTGAACAGCTTACAAAATATCAAGTATTGGAACAAAGAAGCGAAAAGCACAGTTCCCCCAGGGTATAATGCTGATTCTGTCTATTAAACTGTTTGGTTTTGATATCACACCCTCATTAACAGCAAATACTTGATTATAGAAGGATCCATGAGAAAGATTGAATTTGGGCCTGAACATGAGCTGTTCTTAAGGTCTAAAACTGTTCCATCTAAGTGAGTCAGTGTTTAAGCAGATGACTAAATACTGGTTTGGGTAGATTAAATATCTAATATCACATTAGTACTTTTTCTTCAGATAACCTCTCTTATTTCATTCCTAACCTGAGGTTTTAGAGCTCAGATAGTCCTCTGTCATTCACCTGCCAATATTAACCTTACTTTAATAGTTAAAGTTATTCTGCGACCTACTAGAGTTTTAGGTCAAAACTGTAATAAAGTTGAATGGTAATTGTTTATGTTCTCTCTATATTTTATAGCATATTGTAGCTCTTTTTATTAGTGCAAAAAGCTATTATGCCCTTTTTATATCACTTGGAGCATGTATTTTTAGTTTAAATTATTGTAAAGGTTTACAGTTACAGCTTTGCCTTTGTGATATATTGTTGGTTAGGCATCCTATAAATGTTTGTTGAGCACGTATTTATTCTAGACACTTGCTAGATGCTGGGGACATACAAATGAAGAGTTAGATACAATCCCTGCATCTGAGGAAGCCTACATTCCAATGGGGACAACAGATGTATAAAGACATTTTTACAATATATATAAACAACCATTTTAAAAGTTAGTCAAATCATTATTTCAATGAGAGAAAAAAACTTGATCTGTTTTTTAAATATTTTATTATTTTTATTTAATGTCCATGAGTGTATTGCCTGCATGTATGTAAGTGCAATGCCCACAGAGGTAAGAAGAAGGTATTGGATCCCCTGGAACTGGAGTTACAGATGGTTGTTAGCCACCATGTGGGTGCTAGGAACCTAAACCAGGTCTTCTACAAGAGCAGCCAGTGCTTTTAACCGCTGAGCCATCTCTCCAGTCCCCCTTGACCTGTTTTTAACACAATTTCCCATGAGATACTGTTTCTGACTGTATGTTGAAACTAAAAGTGTCAAGACTAAGAGACAAAGCCTTTGACTCTGAATTCCCTAACTACAGCT